CAAATAATCTTTATCTTCTTTTTCCTAAAGCAGAAAATATATATTTTTACAACTGTAAATACTGTACAGTACAGGTACTGTATATTATTTGGAAAAACAATTTTAAAAACAAATTAATAACTTAAATCATTTTTATCCATCAAGACTATAACCTCGATCATACGAGCTGATGATGTGATTCTAATGATGTTCTGTCTGTGAATACCTCTTTGCTAAGAAAAAGAAAAACTTTTTATTCTTATAAAACAATTTATGTAATGGTAAATTAAAAAAAAAAAAAAAATTAAAAAGTATAAACTTATTGTTGATTTTTATATTAAGGATAACTGAGGAACGATGCAATGGGAATCCATTTCAGTCTGTAGATCAATTAAAAAAAAACCCCGAGTGAGCCGCGAAAAGTACTCACAATAGCTGTTATGTGTTAACATCTTGTTTCGGGTTCTACATAAAATACAATTTGAAAATATAGCTGAACTTATCATATGCTAGAACTTTATTGAGAAATAATTAATATTTTATATCATAAATATTATCGATTTGTGTTAACTATAATAAGATACATGAACACGAGACTGTAAGTTGTCTAAATTCCGCTGGAATACTGCATCTATGACTGTGCCTGATTGTTTAGTACTTACTTGTCTATCCGAGTTCATCTGGAGGTTAAAAGTGTATTTCAGAAATTTAATAAGAGTACTGAAGTTGACGTTAAAAATATCCACTAACAATCCAAGGCAGAGTGCGATAGTTATTATTCGAAATACCTGACCCCTATGCTGTGTACAAAGTAGAGAAAATCTATTACTGATTGTATATGTTGGTTTGGGCAAATGTATACATAACGGTCATCGGTATTGACCGTTTAGTATAGCTCACACATAGCTGATAGTAATCTAATAATATATTTTGTATTATTATGATTTATTAAGATAAGACAAACGCTGCACATCATGCATAACATATAGACTGACTAGACCGACAATGATCCACCACCCTCCTTTTATGGTTCCTGAAAACGAATTAAGTAATACTTCAGTGTACAAAGAAGGGGAATGGCCGGTATTTCACTTGTAGTTACTACTCACTGTACAGTATCCCTGTTAGTTGTCATAGACGGCTAACTGTAACCTTTGTTGAATGTCTGTAAATAATTATTGTTCTTACTAGAATAGCCGCGCTGCAAAGACGTCCGCAGTGAGCAATGAATTAAAAAAATTGGCACATGCCATTAAACGATTTATAATAAAGTGTATTAAATTTATATTTTCAACGAAGGTGGATCTATAAATACCGTATGAAAAAGTGATTCATCTCGAGTACCGCAATTTTGGTACATAATATAAAGGTATACATTTACTTTTATACGGTCATTTTATTTTTACAAATTACCGGTAAGTCACGTTGTTATTAATTATTACTGATTTTAATGATACATTATAGTCATGTGAGTCGTGTAATACATTTATTTACCAATGGTCATATATATCTATTATTATAGATTTTGGGTTACCTACACCGCGGTGTCTAAAAGTTATAAAATGTGTTTTATATTATTGTAAACATACCTATTATATACACAATAGGTATATTTGATTACAATAAATACTCAATGATTATACTTTGACAGGCGGGACGTGGGCATAAGAATAAGATAATAAAAGATATTATACTTAATTGATAAATCACTATATTAAAAAATATATAAACAGTTTGTCCGTGTAGACAATATACTAATGCCGTAGCTAGGATGTTTCTTCGAAAGTTTGGACAATTTAATCCAAAAAAAATATTTTAGCAAACGGCATGCTTCCTTAAGCATTTCCATTTAACATATATTGTTACAATTATTTTCTTAAGGTCAACGGTTTATGTTTTAAAACTTGGTAGGTAGGTAAATCGCTTAATCGATTGAAGAGTTTTATTATACTATTGACATCAATTTAATGAAATTTAAATAAACCTGGTTACTGTTTTAATATCCACTAAATGCGTGTGGTTTTAAATAATTAAATTCGGAAAAAAAAATGAATGTTTAACCGAAGAAAAATGTGCGTGCGATAGTGGAATGTGTGGTTTAGAACAATACGTGTGCGGTTTTTCAAAGAACGCTCGAAAATAATAATTACAATTACTGACAATCTTTGTTTCTAGCTAAATATTTTATAAAATAAATAAAAACTGACTATACACTGACTTTTATTAAACCGTGAACGTCCATAACTTCAGTAGTCAGGACGCCTCAACAGATCAATCTGAAATTTTCAAAACTTATTTATATTACCCCCAAGCTATCACATACTACGTAACATTTTAAGTATGAATTTATAATGTGTAAACGAATTCAATGTCTCAACACAAGTGAAGTAGTGATTGTGATCTACACCGCTTCTTTCGCCTTAGAGTTTAGATAAACACAATAATAAAAACATTTTGTTTTACCACCTATTGAGTTTGCAGTTTGCATCAACGATTTAAAAAAAAGTACATATATTTATAATAAATATAAATTTATAAATAGGATAAGAATTAAAATAAGTTTACCGATATTATTCACTATTTGCATTGTTTTAATTAGCAATTACAATTTCTAAATTAATACATAAACACTTCATATTACAATACTAATTATTCAAAATAATATGGTTTTGAGAGAAATGAGTATATTTTATCATTACAAAAGTAAAAAAAAAACTACTTACTAGTTGATATGTAAATATATCAACAAAAAAACACTAATACAAATTAAAACAAACGAGTCTAATTAAATGTACATTTTTGTTACAAAATAATTGTTTTTTTAACAAGGCAATATTAAGGTCATTTAATTTATTTATAATGTACCATCTTAAAAAACTAGCTATACAATTTTTGCGGTCATCAAAGTTTTGATCTTGAGTTTAAAATGAATTAATACATAAAAAATACTTTACTGTTACTGTATGTAAAAAAAAAACCTAAATTATAAATTTTAATAATAGGAACTAATGATTAATGTTTACAAAACTTAAACATTCAGTGCGTGTGGTTTTCAATTTTAAACTAATAGTTATAATGTTAATATATAATAATCATAGTTTAGGGTCTAGAATGTTTACAGTATATATTTTATTATTGTCCAAGTTTGACACGTTACTTCTCGACACGTGATTTGTTTTACATAAAAAAATATATCTATTGGGTAATTTAAAAATACATAATAAATAATATAAGTAATTATTAAACAAAAAATTATCTCATAAAAAAAATCTATCTTTTACTTTAATAATCTATCACTTAATTTATACAAATTTAATATGAATCCTTAGAAACCTGAAAAAGAATTTAGAACTTATTAGTATGACAAAATATGTATACTATTAGGAAATATTAAAAAAATGCATTTTTAAGAGAAAGAAGGTTTTGTCAATAGTATAATTTGGCGAGACCTACTGAAATTTGAAACCTACAAAGCAGTCTTGATATTAATTACTACCCCTTAATGTAGTTTTATTTCAAAACTTCTATGCATCTGATAAAACAAAATAAGTAGAAATGTCCTTTCATTGAGTAACTTTTTTAATGTATTTTTAACTTCGTGAAAATCATTGATATTTAATGTTTTTCTATATTGTAGATTATGTTAATTACATACAAACAATTGAATGTACCGAATATACTTACACATTATAATAGTGTTAGAACTAGGTAGATGAACTTATCCTCACATTTTATGTAAGTGGTTGTATTTGTTGTGTCATCGAGATACGGCCAATCTAGCTGTATTCCAACATTTTCTCACAGATCAGTTCAATTTGTATTTTTTAAATATATATTTTTTTTTTTTTTGTGAGGATGGTCGGGATAATTTTAGAGTAAGGACAAGGAGAGGCATTTTTTCATTAATGTCCGATTTTTAAATGATTTTAACAACCTATGATTTTATTGTTCTGTTTAAACTCAGAGGTTAGGTCCGCCAGGCCAAGGCTTTATGCGCTTGCGGGTACGTGGTTAAAATAATATCGGTTCGCAAAAAAAAAAAACAATAAAAAATGTAATCATAAAATAGGTATTTTTTAGCTTTGATGCGGAATGAATGCGGTCAATTGACAAATACAATTTTCAGTAGATTATTTTCAAATAAAAAAAAGTCAATTTAGGTATCTACCTTGTATTCGTGAGTTTTTCTTTTTTTTAATTTCAAAAATCTCTAGTCACAGTTTTATGATTAAGAACAAAAAAATCCAAATACACAGTCTTATAAATGTCTTATTATAAACAATAAGGCTTAGTGTCAAACAAATTCGTGTTAAAAATAAATGTCTCCATTTAGGCATTAAACTCTGGTTAATGTTAATCTTTAATTAAACTACAATTTTGGTTTTATGATCTCTCGGTTGAATTTTAACTGGATCTTAATCACAGTTTAAGTTAACTTGCATATTATGATCAGTTAGAGATTTTAAACTGAGATTAACATCAATATTATCAGGTAATATTACATTTTACTCAGACATTTAATAGATTTTTTGTATTTTTTTTTTTTAAGTAGTTTTTTCAATTCAGTGTAAGTACCAAATTAATTTAAAACAAATATTTAACTTGTAACTATTTAAATACTCATTTGATATAAATTGTATGTATATTAAAAATCTAGATGACTCATATAAGTAGTAGTAGTAGTGACAGTAGTAGTGGCGACGAAGTTGAATTTTTATATTACATAAACCAATATTTAAAAATTCGAAAACCTTATTTAATTTCAACAAGAACTGACCACCTATATAAATGGGACGACCGAGACTTTTTTGCTAGATTTCGTTTGAGTAAAAATACGTTTAAAATAATATTAGAAATGGTTCAGCAAGAAGTAACAACTGTCACTCAAAGTTATGAGAATATTTTTTTCCCAGTTTTTTTTTTTTTATCTTACATAGTACGTATCTATTTTTAATTGAAATTTAATTTTTATTATGAAATCATGCTATTAATGTTGTAAATCGTCATTGTTTTCAGATTTTCCAAAAAAGTAAAATGCGATTTATTATTTATGCGCTTTTGGGCTGCGTCTGGTGGGACGTCACTTCCGGAGCTCGCAGAATTAAGCTCGGCTTGGGAGAACCAAATTCGCCAGAAACACGGAACGCACAACCTGTCGTTGACTATTGGTTCCAACAGAAATTAGATCATTTCAACGCTACTGATAAGAGAACATGGAAACAGGTTGGTAGCCGAAAAAAACCCTAAACCGTGTAAACGTGGCTAAATATGTATTGTTAATTGTTTTTTTTAGAGGTACCAAATTAATGAACAATTTTACAAATCAGGAGGTCCGGTATTTCTTATGATAGGAGGCGAGGACAAGATGTCATCGAAATGGACCAACTCCGGTGCTTGGATAGAGTACGCCGGAGAATTCAATGCTGTGTGCTTTCAATTGGAACATCGATTTTACGGCGATAGCCACCCTACCGAGTAATGATACTTACAAAGTATAACGCATATATTACAATAGTACACGTACAATTTTTAACGGTAATCAAATTCACATAACGCTGTTTCGCAATGTCACTGCGCCGACTGTACAGAATTTAATCGCATTTAGCTGACTTATAACCGATAGAGATCGCTTTGTGTTTGTTCAGAGACGCGAGCACTGCCAATTTGGTGTACTTAAGCACCGAACAAGCGTTGGCCGATCTAGCGGAATTCATGGTCGGCACGAAAGCCAAATATAATATTTCTCCTGAGAGCAAATGGATAGCGTTCGGTGGGTCGTATTCCGGATCGTTGGCCGCATGGTTGAGAATGAAGTATCCGCATCTCGTTCACGCTGCTGTTTCATCGAGCGCTCCTCTTCTGGCCAAAATTGATTTTCACGGTAACAATTCGATTGATCATAATTATATTACAAGAAAAACGGTTAGACCAGAGGGTTAGTGTTTTCCTCGAAGGAAAGACATTGTACCATGGATATGTCTCACGGCTCATTGGAGGCTGGTAAACGATTATAAGACACATTCGAGTAAAAAAAAAAAACTTAACTTTCGTATCGCTTCAACCGTGATGACACGGAGACGAGGAATAGTAGAAGAGGATCTCTGCCAATAAAGGATTAGGGCAGGGGAAGAGGTTTACTACCGTATTATCCTCTTCTGTTCCCTTTAGGCTACTAAGGATTAATAATGTAATCCGCAACCCACTAACTAAGGGATTACTGGATTAAATTTAATCCCTAATCCAAAAGTTTAGGATTACTGAGATAAATGTAACATAAATGTACCATATGTATATTTGTCAGATCTTTGTGATACTGCAACCCGTGTAAATGTTATACCAATACTGGTAGCATTTTAACCAATACATCCATGCTTTGGTCGTTTGTTGAATGTCGGCAATACAAACGGAACACTAATCAATGTCGACAGACATACGAATATACGAAAAAGGTCTGATGAATAATTAAATAAATATTATTGTTGTATTAGGCGAGATATGAGAAAATAAAATTTGACCATTGACGTTTGAATGGTAGGTACAATTGAACCCTTACCATTAGTTTACACATTACGGAACTCAAAAAATCAATTAGGTTCTTAACCTGTATATATTATATTTTTTTTTTTATATTTTACAGAATATTATAAAGTAGTGGAAGACGCTTTGTCCACGTATAAGCCGGCTTGTGTGACGCAAATAAAACTAGCCAATCAAATGTTGAACGCCATCATCGAAAGTGACAAGGAAATAAAATATATCAATAAAAAATTCAAGTATTCGCGTTTAAATATTTGAATAACACCACCAAAGGTATACTCTTGCTTTTTTTTTTTTTAACATTTGCTTAATATGTTATATTAGATTGTGTGATCCGCTGAACGCGAAAAACAATAAAGACGTGTCGATTTTGTTTGAAACGTTAGCCGGTAACTTTGCGGGAATAGTGCAATACAATAAAGATAACAGATTAAGCAACAGGACGAATGAAATTACATTAGAGACTTTGTGCGACATAATGACTAACGAATCAATTGCGTCTCCTGTACGAAATCTCGAGTATAATTGTATTGGTTATAAATATAAGTACTTATACTCAAGTATGATAAACAATAAACATATTTAATATCATAAAAAATATTGGATTACCAATTATAGTGCTGAACACAGACAATTTTGGAGGTGTTAATTTCAAAACTAAGGATGCTGGGTTGAAATTGAAAATAATGAGCACAATAAATTTGTGTATTCAATTTCTTTAATGGTCCAGCCGTTGGTGTATCCTTAGACTCGTCATACACAGCTAATATGCCTTTCTTGTTGTAATACCATATGCTTATTGTACTAATTTATAACCGTACAGATTGTATATTTTTCTAATAAATAAAAAAAAAAAATGTCTTTCAATAGTAAATCGAATTTCTTATTTTTAGTTGGAAAAGTACGCAGCGGTTAACGACAGAATGTTATCCTCGAACAACTTGACTTGTACGGATTACGTGTACGAAAACACAGTGAATATCCTTAAAAATATATCTTGGGAAAGCCCGTACGCCTCAAGTAATAATCATATTTATGTACTTACAATTGTAGGCCATTGCGGCCATACTTGCTCTTGATTATTCGGGAGGAGGGGGGGGGGGGGTAAAACGGTATTATGCTACAGTACTTGTATGAAAAAGAATACAAATTTGAAAATTGCCAGTTTTCCTGTAATATGTCACCAATTTTGGGAGAAAAACAGAATTAGAAAAATAAATATTATTTTTAAACTTTTAACTTAGCTAGTTAGTACGTATACAGCTTAACCGGTTCACATTTATAAATAGTTAACTTAACATTTTCAGTTAATTATCATAATAACACAGTCAAGTTAAAATATTTATTTTTCGTCGAAACAAATAATGCTTTCAATCAAAAGGCGTTAATTCAATTTCAAATAACACTGAAATTATTCTATATATTAATCTAAATTTATTTATTTATAAAAAAACGAGCTTAGTATTTACTTTGTTATCATTTACTCCACATGTAATCTAACCCTACATGTTTTTAATTGTGAATTATTAATAAGATAAGTGTGCGGGTACTTTGCATTTATTTTAGGTTTTACTATTGTAGTAGTATCATGTTAAAATAAGCAATCGCCTAGCTACCTTTTAAAGCAATAATTCATACGGCAAACGATGGACAATTATTCAATAGAACTTATTTAATAATAATAATAGCCCAGTCGTCAAAGTTTTAATACATTTAAAAAAAAAAACGTTTAACTTAACCAGTTTAACAATTTATTAACTTTTAACTAGAAGCTATAAAGTTAATTTAATTTGCCTGTATTGAGTTAAATTTTTTTTAATAACCATGCCCTTTCTGCTGTTCAGTGTACATGACCATAATGATGTTTAAGACATAGCAATGTTGTAATGTTCACGAAACTATTTTGATAGGCAGGCAATGGACGTACCAGACATGTACGGAATTTGGTTTTTATCAAACATCCAATCAAGACGAACATGTGTTCGGCAGTAAATTCCCCGTGAATTTCTTTACCGACATGTGCGCAGAAGTTTACGGAGAAAAGTAAGTTAGTTTGATATCGCGTTTTTGGGTCCTGTGCTCCTGTTTAAAAGATATAAATAGACTACGTTACAGTTAATCATAAAAAATATTAAATAATTAAAAAATGTAGTAACAATAAATGAAAAGACCTCCTAACCACACTTTTCAGGCCAGCCTAATATTAGCCATTGAACTCGGCACGTCTATCTTGGTTTGCTTGTTCAGCGGATTACACAATATAAAAAGTTCGTACAGTAAAACCATTGATTATTAAAAATATAGATAGCCATAGACTTATAAATATTGAATTTTAATTATCATCAGTTTAGTTTCTCATAATGGTTTTCCAATGTATAATTGGAACTCGACGGCCGCTTTTAAGTACTCTGAGTTTGACCTTCTCATTTTTTAAAAACAATTTTTTTATAGATTTTATTTAAAATATTATAGCTCAACGATTATAAGAATAACATTACTACAATACAGACTAAAATTAAAACAGAAAAAACAAACTATACACATAATTACATAGAAATATAACATAAAGTTATTTACTTAAATATGAAACCCAGCGTCAAGGATGAATTTGAGGACGGATTGGATGATAAGAACAAAGCGGGAGTTAAGAATAGTATAGGAGTTAGGGTCGTTAATACCCAAAGAGGATAGGAGGTTAAAAAGGATATCTCTATGGGGAGAGAGAGTGGGACAATGAAAAAGGAGATGAGAAAAATCACAAATGGCTGGTAGATCATGCAAAGTACAATAAGGAGAGGAGTTCAAAGAGGTGAGAAAAGAGAAAGCGGGAAGAAGGTTGTGTCCAAATCTTAAACGGGAAAAGCAAGAAATTTCTTTACGTGAGAGATTGAGGCCATGAAACCAAGGCCTGCGAGGGATGATAGGGCTGATTGAGCGATGCCAAGTGGAAAAGTTAAGAGGTAGGGAGGACCATTTGTCCTGCCAAGCTTGTAATGTAGTTTTATTTAAACCCGGAAGGAAGTCAGAAAAGGGAGTGGTTAGGCCTTAAAGCAATATGAAGGAAGCGGTGGAAGTGGCTAGGGAATCGGCAGTTGCATTACCAATTATCCCACAGTGCCCTGGAACCCAAAAGAATTGAACGGTTTTGCCAGAGGACGAGATGCGGAACAAAAGAGATCTTATATTAAGAATAAGGGGAGACAATGTAGAGCTGGAGGGATTGGAAGAGAGAGCAAGAGTGTTCATTGATAAAATCTGAATGAAATTGTAATGTTCTTAAGTATTTATTACCGATATACTATACATGTCTATTCAAAAAAATACATCATACGAAAGTATTGGGTACCCGAAAAAATAACGAAATACGTATCCTTAAATGCTTTATAACTTCGAATAACACAATAATGAATAATAATTAAATATGAATTAATTATCGTAATATATTTCCATGTGTGTGTATTGCCATTTATTTATGATATATATATTTATCATTTTATTACTCCATGTCTTCTCAATTTTTATTCCACAGGAAACCTAATAACTCTATCTATCTCTTTCTAATGATGTTCATATCTAAATTTTTAACAATCAATGGTTTTACTGTACGAACCATTTATATTTACTGGCTATTTCTTGATATCTAGTTAGTTGCCTTTCCCATTTACTTGGAGAATTATATAAAGGCCGGTGTCCGCTTCCGAACCTCCACAGCTTCGTGTGGTTTTTTATCAATTAGCATCGTGGTCTATGTGATTTTTTATCTTGTCTATTTGGAAATACTAAGCCGAAAGAACCGCTTGACCGAGTTTTGAAACCAGTGACAACCGGCAAAAAATACACTGCCCAGAGCAATAATAAATGCGTTTTTAACAGGTTCGACGCAGATTTGTTGGCTAAAGGCGTGGACCGAACCAACTGGATGTACGGAGAATTGAACATCAAAGAAACCAGAGTCGTCTACGTCCATGGTTCGGTGGATCCGTGGCACGCGTTAGGGATGACTCGTACGAAGACAGTGAAAACAGCTGCAATCTATATTGTCGGTGAGTCTTTCGACTTTTCGCCCTTGCAAGAAACAACTTAATGTACTATAAGAATATACTATGTAGGACGTGAAGCCCGTGAATCGCTATTGACTTCTTGGTTCTCTTTCAGGAACGGCTCACTGTGCAAATATGTATCCATCGGCTACCACGGATCTCCCGCAGCTGACCAAAGCTCGGGCTACCATAAAAGCTTTTTTGACTGATTGGTTGACCATCTCGGATGACTTGGATTCCGCGAATCAGGAGACCGTTCCATTCGATTAACTGACACTTAAATAATTTTATTCAAAACAATTTTTAAAACGTATTTGTTTTTTAACTCATGATAAACTATTCCGGCTTACGCTCGAGATTTAGACATTTTTAAAAATACAAAGATACGTGACACCCGCGTATCAATGACTATCGAATATAGCTGACTTGCTTAGTAAGAGTAGTTTACTATTGTCTAGTGTATCTGTATGGATATTTGTACGAATGTGAAAATTTACAAAAATTTCAATACACTGTACACAGAACCATTGTGTATAGATTATCAATATCTATACTCAATTACTGTACCAAAGTTAACCTTTTTTTAAAATCTCATAAAAAGATAAATGGATGATAATGTAAATGAATGATATCCAGGATATGTTATATATTATAAAAAAATAATACAATACGAGAACTCTGTGTTGCAGAATACAGAGTACTTACTATAGTAAAGAAATTAATATTTAAACCATTAACCATAAAAATAATTCATATCTTTGAGAGGCAACTCGGATGAAAATCATTAAGTTCCCGACACGGGAGTCCACTAGTACATTTTGACCCAAAAAGTTAGGATAAGCAAGGGAAGCAATTGGTTGTTTTTGAGAGGCAACTAGTGTGCGCCCTACAATATAAGTAGTACAATATATGGTAGTAAAACAGATTAACTAATCAATAATAGTACCTATTGGTTATAAATCTAAAATGTATTAAAAAAACTAATACAGTGGGGTCAGGGCATAGTGGGAACGTGGCATAGTGAAGACGGGGAGGTTACAGGTTTACAGGAATTGTTATAAATTAAAGTGAATAAAATCACTTTCAAATAAACGCTTTGATGCTTTTATTTTGTAATTTAATCGGTCATTTCAAAAAAGACACAAGTCACAAAATCGAAATTTTACACTACCCACAAAAAAATTCATATCTTCATAAATAGTTTTTGCAGTGATTCTAATTTCGTGTACTCAACATTTGTATTAAACACGAGTCTGGCAAATTTAGTTTTCACACAGAATACGTAACCAAGTATATTATAATTATCAAATTTGACAAACAGACATTTTTGAAAAATCAGTGACTTCAGTAGTTTTTTTAATGACCGATTCAATTTAATACTTTCTAACTTTGCTGGTTTATACTGTGCATGGTCTGGACTGTACTGGCTTTATTTATCAAGTAAATATTCCTTGTACATTTCAACTCGATACCAAATAGATAAATTTTGTGATTTATAGAGTTGCCACTCAAATGAATTGGTCCAGTATTAACAAAGTTGCAGTGTATTAAAAGTGACACCGAGTTCAAAAGTAAACGAATATTTAGAAATATGATTCACTGTTTATATAAATGAAAATACAATAACCGCTTCTGTAAAAAAAATTGTACACGTTTAAAACGCTGTAAACATTATTTAGACACCCATATTGAACATGCGTTATAATAATGTGCACCTAACGCTGGCAAATACTCAAAGTATTTAGAATTTCATGATCCGCCTGACTTGTTGACGATTTTTTAAATTTATGAATCAACGACCTGTGTGAATCATGTTTGGTATTTATCATACAATGTTATTTCAAGATCACTGTGTTTTTCCCCCTTTTGGTAAGAGGATTAAACGTTTTGGTGAATTATATTACAGTAAATATAATTAGCAATTCGATAGTTAATCTATATATATATATATATATATATATATAGTAGTAAGTAGACTAGATTACTCCCGAAATTTAAGTAATATTCAAAAATCTCATAAATCCCATCCTAAGAAATTTCGGTCTTTTATTAATAACCTTAAAACGTCACCTGGTTTGCTCAACTCAATGTCATTTAACCAAAAGACAGCTGAAAATGGTCAAGAAATTGTTGACTCATTTAGTCAATACTTCTCTTCAGTATATTATAAAGATACAGTTCCTACAAATAATAATTTCAGTCTAACATAGTTCAATCTATTAATCGACTAAATACACTTCATACTGAACTGCTTGAAGTTTTCAATGAATTAGATAATATACTCTCATATAAAAACGCTATTGGTCCTGATGGTCTATCTCCTATATTTTTATTCAACTGCAGCTTTATACTTTCTCCCCCTATCACATATCTTTTCAATATTTCTTTAAATAGTGGCTCGTTCCCATAGCTTTGGAAATCCACCTATATTAATCCAATTCTTAAAAAAGGTAATAAATCATAGATTTCAAACTATCGTCCCATATCGATAATTTCTATCCTCACAAAAACATTTTCTAAAATAATAAATAATAAACTTACACCTATATTTGAAAATAGTTTAGCACCACAGCAACTAGGATTTCGTAATAATAAATCATCTCTTACTAATTTAATAACTATAAAGCATATAATATAATCTTTTTCCAATAATCAACAAACCGATGTTATTTATCCCGATTTTGAGAAAGCCTTTAATTTAGTAAACCACGCTTTATTAATCAATAATCTGCAGGAAATTGGCTTTGCCTATCATGCCTTTTATCATGGTTTAACTCTTTCATACGTCATCGAACCCAATTTATTAAATATACAAATTTTATATCAACACCTATAAACGTTATGTCTGGAGTACCTCTCCTCTATCCTATTTAACTTATTTATAAATTATGTTATGTGTTACGAACCCACCCTTATCAGGGCTAATAGATACATATATATATATATTACATTGTACAACTTATCTGGACTAACATATACATATATCTATATATTATATTATATAACTTCTCATTGTTAAATATTGCTAAATATGAATGTACCACACGTGCCGATTTCACATCAGACCCAAAAGGTCATTACAGCATCTTGCGAAAGCAGACAACTTGTAATTCTGTTCACAGTTGACCTCAACAACGAGGCCAACCACTAAAAGGAACTTAACGATTTTGGCAACTACCGTGCGAATCTCACTTCGAAGCTAGCCAATTTCGACCATGCGAAGGCTGCACTCTCATGCCTCTACCCTTCCTCCACCGTTGACATAAGCGGATGTCATGGACGAGCGAGGTCATCCACGCGCGGACTTTCGATAATTGCGAGGATTCCCACGGCCATTCACCGAGCGGACCAGCATATAAGGGAGAACTTGAGTCATAGCAGGCCAGATGAGTTGGGTCCGCCACACACTACACTTGAAGTTTCTACCTATCATCTTCTTTTGAAGTCTTAAGCGGCTTATAATTGTCTTAATCATCATATTTATGAAGCATACTGAACTTATGCTATTAACTGTTTGTCGTTGTACATGTTTTATAAGTATATTAAATTAAATGTTTGTGATTTACTCTGAAGTTATTCTATTAAATATCTAAAAACCTACTACCACGGTTGTGACAAGACCCAAACAGCCTGCAATACATACGTATAGAGCTACAGGGTTGTTACATGTGTCCTCTCTATAGTTGCACACTCCAACATACTATTTTTTGGTGACGATACAAAAATTCTCAAATCCATCACTTCCCTTGATGATAATATTAAACTCCTTCAAAGTGATTTAGCTGCATTTAACGAATAGTGTATTTCAAACGGCACTTCATTGAATATCGACAAATGTCAAATTGTAACTTACTCTAAAAAGCACGATACCTCTAAAGATTTAGGGATTTTATTTGATTCTAAATTATTTCTCAATGCTCACGTATCAGCGATAAAAAATAAAACCCTAACATTATTTGGTATGATAAGAAACTGCTCAGATTTGCATGATTCACTTGCTCTCAAATGTCTATATACCTCACTAGTCTCTTCCCTATTAAAATACCCTCCATTAATTTGGGACCACAGCAATGCAGGACATAATGAACAGTGCAAAATAAAGTCCTCAGATTTATATGTCATAAATATAATATTCCAAGAACTCCTCACACTGGTTACGAAACAATTTTAAAAATTTAGGAACTTTAAAAATTCTTAGAAATATATCGTACAAAACCTTTCTCCCCAGATTGCTAAATAACGAGCTCGATGATTCATTTTTATTAAGTCAATCAAATTTCAAAGTCAATAACCACTACACTCGCAACAAACATTTATTATATATTCCTCATTTTTCTAAAAAGTAAACGTCCAACGACCCAATTAATATTTCAATGTCTTCTGGAAATAGTCAATTATTTTAATAAACATTGTATAACCTATGTATTATTCTATTTATCTTTTAGTACGTAATATCTTATTATTTTTAATTATATTATACTATTGTTATTTATACTTATATATTGTAAAATAGACATTGTCCGTATGAATTAATTTTATAATAATTTTCAAATTATAATTCACCAAAATTATTAACGTTTTAAGACCTTTTATTTTGATGAAAATAACAACTGACATTGGCAAGAAATGGAAATTTTGTCAAAGGTAACTATCGCAGTAATATTTGCTATCGCTATGGTCATTGTTTTTTGGCGGTTTCGGATAATCTGATTGCTTAGCTGATTTTGAACTTACTTTTAAAATATTTTAAAGATCAATTATGCCTTTTGGAACGATATAAACTTTTCATTCCAGGAATCTTATTTCACATCAATAAGTATACCTTTAAAATGTTTATTATTCTATATATTTTTAATCGTTATCTATATAATTTGTGTATTATTTGTGTATGTATCACTTTTATCATATTTTAATCAATAAAAGCCGACCTAATAAAACCCATAATTAGTTAAATAATATGTCATGTTAGCAAATGGGTTTTTGTCGATAATTAAAAATTGACAATGCAATCATCTGACTAAAAATTATAGAAATTTCTTTCAAACCAGTAAAAGTTGTAACTTTAAAACATGCACGTTTTTTTTTGTTTTTAATTTTGTAAGGTTGAAGAAGTGATAATTTTCATAAGATTTGTAATTTTCAGAGTTGCTATTCGAAGGAATTGGTCCAGTATTAGAAAAGTTACAGTGTATACAGACACGAAAAATAACTACATCATTGTAAAACCAATAGCATCGCTGCTCCGCATCGAGGCTAAAATAAACTAATACTAAATAACTGCCCTTGACTAATTAATAACTGTTTTTTAGGAGAAAAAATATTATACGATGTACGTCGT